TCTCTCCTCGCTCCTCCTAACCCTCCTCCTGCTCCTCCTCCTCCTCCTCGTCCTTCTTCTCCCCCACCTCCTCCTTATTCTTCTTCTCGTTTCTCTTCCTCCTCTTTTCTCATCCTTGTCCGTCCTCTCCTCCTCCCTGCGCTATTTTACCCTCGGTCTCTCGGCAGCAGGCGCACCAGGTGGCCCGAGGCAGAGTCCAGGTGGCCATCCGCAGGGACCTCAGGCTGCAGGTCCTGCGGCGGAGACCCCTCGCAGCCTGCCCCGTGGACGACGCAGGCGGGCGGGGCTCCCCCTCCTCCTCGTGCCGTCCTGCCCACCGCCCCGTCGCGCCTCAAACAAGGTGGGCCCATAGCACTCTGGCCAGCGCCCAAGGCTTTCGCACCTCCGCGCAGTGCCGGAAGGACTTCGGGGGGCTCGCCCAGACTCCCCTCCGGCGACTAAGGAAGCGGCGTTCTCGTTCCAGTTATTCGGCAACGCGCAGAGGGGGGTAGGGGGAGGGGGGAAGGCTTCTTAGAAGCACCCCTGCTTCCTAGAAGGCGCGGGCCTTCTCTATAGACGTAAGGCCGAGGCTTCTAAGAAGCCTTCCCCCCTCACCCTACCCCCTTTTGCGCGCCGCCAAGTTGTGGCGCAGTTCCAGGCCAGATGCGGCCAGCGCAGGACGTGCGAGTGGAGCAGCACCATCACATCGAAGAAGATGAGGCGCGGCAGGCGTTCCACCACGCTTGTGCTCTAGAAGGGCAAGGCCAAGGAGCACCCTCGGGTGGTCCCGTCGGACCCACGTCGGATGTCGTGGGCGATCCAGGAGGACGACGACAAGGACGACGGCTTCATGACTTCCCTGGAGCAGAGTCAAGGGGGGAAGCGGGGCGCGGTCACGCCGTATCCCCCCCTTCCGTGTGCGTGAGCAGTCTGAAGTGGCATCCCTTCCATTGAGAACCGTCAAGACCGTGAGGACGGCTCGCCAACACATTTCAGTCGAGCCGTTAAGGAAGATGGATGGGTTGCATCGACACGCTGAGCGTCTTCATTGGCAAATTGTTGTTTCGGTTCTCAGGCTGCGGGCGAACCTCGCGGCATCCGATAAAAGAAAGACAGCCACAGCATCCAGGAAGCTCGCGGCGGCCGACGCGATGAAGCGTGGCGACAGCGTCGAGAATTAGTTGCCCAAGGTGGCTTTCTGTCACAATGCCGACGAGCTTGAGGCCTCGAGGAGGGGCGCGAGGCGGTGGGCCAGCTCCAGACGCAGCTCAAGGACGCCAGGGGTAACCTCGAGGGCAGGGCGAAGCAGGCCCGCGAATGGCCCGCCCAGGCCACCCAGGCCGAGGCAGGAGTGCGTGGATCGCCTGGCGAAGAAGCGCAAGTCCAACGCCTGGCATCGCTCGGACGTGTGCATTTTTTCTCGGCGAGGGCCGTCGAGGAGCATCCTTGATCATTTCGCGAAAAGCCACGCACGAAACCGGAAAACGCACAGGAAATGGACGTCCGAGCGATGGCCAGAACGCCAGGCAGTCCACTGCTGGCAGCGCCGGGGAGGTGCTGGCGCGGACGGCGCGACGGCGGCGGCGTCCTTTGCTACGTCTGGCGCTGCAAGGGGCGCGGCCAGTGCGGCATCATGCACCCAGGATGCAGAGTCCATGGAGGAGGCTCGTCAGAGGGCTCTGGGCGAGGCGGCGGAGACGATCTCAGCGGCCAAGGTCCAGGCCAAGCTCGTGCAGTCCAGTACGTCTGGCAAGGGGCGCACCACATCAGCGTCTCCAGCGTGATGAACTGTGGAGTGCTCGCTCCAGCCTGCTGGCACCAATGAGGAAGAAGGAGAAGAAGTGGAGGATGTGACAGGGTTCTTCTGCGCCAACCTCACAGTCCTCACGACTCGTGTGCGCGATGAGTCCAAGTTATTAGATTGGGATTAGATGGCGAGGCCGTTGAAGCATCAAAGTTGTTGCATTCTTGTGCTCGCAACAGGAAGGGCAGCGGCTTCCGCTATGCAAGCCCGCTCCAACGAAGAACGAAGGAGGCGGAATATTTTAGGGCCAGCAGCACCTCCAGATGCATCAGTTGCAGGAGGCCACTGCGGCCGTGAAGAGATCCTCAAAGAGGACTGCCAGGACGGGTTCGACGGATTCATTCCGACGGTTGCTCATTTGGCTGGCGTTTCGCTCGTCATCGTTTTTCTGCACGCCTTGCGAAGTCTGGACATGCGAGGCGCAAATTTGCATCGTTTCCAGAAGACCAGAGGCCTACCAGCATCAGTTCACCTCCTGTGGTTCGCCGTCGGATATCTCAATGTGGTTCCTGAGACTCTTCAAGCGTCACAGTTTGCTCAGCGTCTCGGGATTGCTATCATCATGGTAGAACGTAACTTCGGCACATGCACGCACAAAATTATTGGCTTCGAGCGATCCCCACTGAAACCTTAGGCCCCTGCCCTCCTCTTCCTGTCCCATGCCTCCTTCCCCTCCTCATTCTTCCCCTTTCCCATCCTTAGACTGAGGGACGCAGGCGAGGAGGCCGCCCGCAGCGGGGCGGTGTCAAGAACTCGGGGATTCTCGGCAAACTGCGGGTCTGGCCTGGTTTTGGTGTGTTATGTGATGTTAGCTTGTGTTCTGGTTTGGTTTGTTCTGTGATGCTATGTGGACCTCTGTTATGTGACGTTCTGCTCTGGTTTGTTATGTGACGTTATGTTGTGATCTGTTCTTTCATGCTATACATTGTTTTGTCATGCTGTGGCATACTCCGTTCTGTTATGTCGTATGATGACTACTATGTTGTGCAAGATATGATATGGTATGTTATGCTATGTTTTGTCATGGTCGGATTTGTAATGGTACTGTTCATGATATGCAATGGTCGCGTTATGTTATAGTATCTTCTATTGTGACGTGTTGTGTTCTGTCGTGTTCGTCGCTATGCTCTGTTGGCGTGGTATGACATGTTCTGAACGCTGTGTCATGATCTGATAGGTTCCGTCAAGGTGAATTATGTTATGCTCAGTCTTGTTATGGTATGGGGTGTTAATACATGTTCTGTTCTGCAGTGGTACGCCATACTCTGTTTTGTGATGTTGTATTATGTTGTAGTGTGTCATGGTTTGCTAAGTTATGCTCTGTCATGCTTGTTATGTGATGTCATGGTGTGTTCTGCTGTCTCATGCTATGTATTGTTCTGTCATATTATGTCATGGTATGTTATGTTCTGTCGTGGTATGTCTACTATGTTTTGCTATTCGGTCATGATATGGTAAGGCATGTTATGTTATGTTATGTCATGGTCTGTTTTGCCATGATACTGCCATATGAGGTTGCGTCACGGTATGCAATGATCGTGTTTTATGGTGTTATGTTATATTGTGACATGTTGTGCTCTGTCGTGAACATCGCTATGCTCTGTTGGTGTGCTATGACATGTTCTGAACGCTGTGTCATGATATGATCTGTTCCGTCAGTGAGTGTTATGATATGTACAGTTATGTTATGTTGTGGTTTGTTACGTCGTGTTATGTTATGCAATGTTCTGCCATGATGTGTTTCGTGTCGTTATATTACGCTGTGCTTATCATGGTATTGCTATGTTATGTTATGCCATGTTATGTTGTGTATTGCTGTGTTTTTCGTGTTTGTCGAAGGCGCGAGGCGGGACTCCCAGGGACTCGGGACAACTTGGGGTCTGGTCGCCGCGGTATGCAGTTGTGTTTGTCGAGGGCGCGAGGCGGGAGTCCTAGGGACTATCGGGGACTCTCGGGACACTTTGGGGTCTGGCGGCCGCGGTATGCAGTCGTGTTTGTCGAGGGCGCGAGGCGGGAGTCCCAGGGATTCTCAGGGACCCTCGGGACAACTTGGGGTCTGGCGGCCGTGGTATGCGTGGGGTTGGCCGGGGGTTATATTCTTGAGATCTAGCAGCCCCAACCTGTCGGTCGGCGAAAAAAGAAAGATGAGGACACCTTGATTGATTATTTGCTGCGCTGTCTGAGTGCCGTTATTTCTCGTTCGCAACGTGCAGCCGATCAGACACGTTCCGTGGAACCCCCTTTGTGTGGCCCTGGTCCTGTCTGGTGGAGCTTACTGGAGGTCCCTTGTAGGTTGCCCCAGCCCCCAGACCTCCTCAAGAGCATTCTAACGGGTCCAAAAGTAGCCTTGCCAACGTTAGAAGTGTTCTTGCTCCTGGGTCTGTGGCTGAGAAGCGAGTTAGCCGTCTCATGGCTTCGTTTCGGGACTGAGCGCAGTCTACAAAGTTTCACCTCGGGGAAGAGGAGGCCACCGCGGCACCCTCTGACAATTTTCACGGCGAGCTCGACCTAGAACACTGGCCAGACGATCCCGTCGTCGTCGCGTCGTTGGCGTCGGCGTTTTTGTCACCGTCATCGTCGTCATATCGTCGTCCCCCCCATCCTATCTGGGAGGGGGCGGCTGTGGAACCTCTGGAACCCATCCAATTTGGTGAGGGGCTGTGAACCTTCGTTCCGGGATCATATATACACTGGAGGCCCATGCCAAGAAACGCCTTTCTAGCCTCCACGAGGCCTTGTTTTTCTTGTTGGGTTTCGATGGTTTTCCTACGGCAAGCGCGACGTTCCCACGCCAAAAGTCAATGGACGCCCTGGGGTCTCAGATATGGGCTTTTTGTGGAAGGTTCCTCGTGGACTGGCCTCCACTGTGTATACCAATTCCTGGGCCCAGGATGGGCCTGGCCAGGATCGGTGTAGGTGTACATGCCCGGCGCCCTCTCTGCTCATCCTCGCCCGACCTGGCCTGGAACCCCCCGTTCTCGCCGCCCGGTCGGCCCGCGGGCGGTGCCGCGGCAGCAGCAGAAGTGCTTGTCGTGCCTCCGGAGCAGGGCCGGCACGGTGTACCTCGTCGTCGTCGCCGCCGTCGTCGTCGCCGCCGCCGTCGTCGCCGTCGTCGTCGTCGTCGTCGCCGTCGTCGCCGTCGTCGTCGTCGTCGTCGTCGTCGTCGTCGTCGTCGTCGTCGTCGTCGTCGTCGGGGGGGGTCTACCCCCCCCCCCAGGGCGTGGGCCTCGTGCCCGTCGTGTCCCTCGCGGCGGGCGAGGCGCTGCTGCCCCCAGGCCCCCCCCCCCAGGGGGGCGCGGCGCGCCTCTCGCCCGCCGCCGCGGCGGCCCCCCCGCCCTGCCAGGGGCCACGACGCCAGGGGCTTGGCATCGCTCGGACGTGTGTATTATTTTTTCTCCTCCTCCTCCTCCTCCTTCTCCTCCTCCTCCTCCTCCTCCTCCTCCTCCTCCTCCCTCTCCTCCTCCTCCTCCTCCTCCTCCTCCTCCTCCTCCTCCTCCTCCTCCCTCCTCCTCCTCTCCTCCTCCTCCCCTCCTCCTCCTCCTCCTCCTCCTCCCCCCCCCTCCGCCCACGCCCTCGCTCCGACGGCAAGGAGGGGGGGGGGCTCCAAGACGGGGCCCCGAGGGATGGGGTTCCTGAGAGCGAGAGGTGCCGCAGACGATGTGTAGCTGGGGGAACGAAAAGTGACATACAGTCGGGGCGCTGAAGAAGGAACCCTTTACGTTGGGGAGGGGCTCGGTGTTCCTTGATTGTTTAACTGTTTGTCTCAGGTCTTCCTGAGGTTTTCCATGGGACATCGATGTTTAACGTATGAGAAAAATGGGCCTCGTTCCTTATTTAGGGTTCCTTAGGTCAACGCCCCGACTGTAAACATAAAAACTCGGATGTCCGCGCGGATTTCTCGCATCGGCGCTGGACCCCCTTCCCTGGCGGGCGCGCGGAGCGCGCCAGGGGCGGCGCCGGAGGCGCCGCCGGGGGGCCCCAGCGCGGATCCGAGAAGTCCGCGCGGACTTCCGAGTTTTTATGCTTATGTCCCTGTTCGTTCCCCTAATAACTCCACCCCGTGGACCCGTTCCTATATCTTACGGGCCCCATCCCTCGTGACCCCGCCTCCGATTCACCGAAGGGGGGGGGGGGCGGCGGGCTCCCGAGGGCCGACCTCCTCGGGAATCGCTGGCCAGAAAGCCAGAGTTGCACACGTCCCGAGCGGCCGCCACAGAAACGAGTCACGACCCGAAAGTCAGAAGGGGAAAGGGCTCAAGGGGGGGGGGGAACTGGGTTTTTAAGTCGGGCGTGTCCCTACAGGAGGAACCTTCCAGAATCGTCAACAACACTGTACGGGGACAATGTTTGCATTTTTTGTATAATTTCTCCTTCCGCTCGGACGTGTGCAGTTTTCCTTCGGAGGGGACCATCGAGGAGCATCCTTGATCACTTGGCAAAAGAATCCACGCACGAGACCGGAAAAAAACACAGGGAATGGACGTCCGAGCGATGGCCAGTTCAACATCCGCCTTTAGGAGGGCATGCCCGACCTAGGTCTGGGTCGCCCCGAGGGGCGCGAAGGCAGTCGCGCGGCGCGCCTCGCGGCCTCGGTCGGCGAGCTGCCCCATCTCCAGGTGGGCGGAGCGGAGGCGCGCGAAGACGCGAAGATGATCAGGAAGGGAAACAACACACAGACACAGTTAATCGTCGAGTCCCAGGAGAATATGGGAAAATATGGGAATTGGGGGGGAAGACGAAAACCCAGAAGATATGGGAAAATATGGGGCATGGTTTTATTTGTGTGTATTCGTTGGTGTGTCCCAGGGCCCCTTCATATGACCGCGCGCCGCGCACCCGCGGGGCGCGAGGCGCGAGGACAGGGGACCTTTGGGGGGAAGCCTTTTCTCGGAAGCGAGGCTCGAGGGGGCTTCCTCCTACGCTCTCGCTGGCCCCCGGCGGCCTTCCAGCCTTTTGTCAGGAGAGGAAAAAAAAACACAGAGACACAAGTAATCGTCGATTCCTAAGAAAATATGGGAAAATATGGGAATTGGGGGGGAAGACAAAAACCCAGAAAATATGGGAAAATATGGGGAATCTTTTTATTTGTGTGTATTTATTTGTGTGTCCTGGGGCCCCTTCATTTTTGGGGGGTGACGCCGAAGCGCGAAGGCGGCATCGACAGAAAGATGGCAGGCTCCGCGCGGAGCTCTTGGATCGGCGCTGAACCCCCTCCCTGGCGCGCGGAGCGCGGTCGTTCCATCCCGGGGGGCGCTGCAGCAGCTCCGCCTTGCCGTCGAGAGCGCTCTGGCGTCCGCCAGAATGCCGAGTTACGATCCGAAATCGAAGGTCAAGTCGGGCATGTCCCTCCTACGGGAGGAGCACTCAAGAACAGTCAGACATAATATGGGGACGATTTTTCTTTGGAATGTGTTTGGACAGTTCTTGATTGTTTTCCATTTTTCACCCGCCTGCAGGAGGGCATGCCCGACCTACAGTCAAAAACCTTAAGAAGGACGCGCGGTAAGGACGCAAGACCCTGGGAAGCCGAAGTTGGGATTTTTGGGGCGGCGGACGACGGAAACCTCCAGGACGCAAGAGCAAGGAAGAGCAAGGACGCAAGGTCACCCTGAGCAAAGCCGCGCGTCCTTATCAGGGTTTTTGACTGTAAAGTCACAGGGGGAAAGGGGCTCAATCAAGGGGGGGGGGACCTGGGTCTCCTGCAGGGGGCGCGCGAAGGTGGTCGCGCTGCGCGCGCCGCGGCCACGGTCGGAGAGCTGCCCCACCTATGAGGCCAAGCAATTGCTTTATGCTGATCAATACCGTGGCGAACTTCGTGAAGAAGTGCGGCGGCAGACTGGATATCGTGAACAGCAAACTGCCCTTGTACAGCAGGCGGCCGTACGTGCTGGTCAGCACGCCGTCCCTGGAGGAGAGAGCTAACCAGCGGTTCGGGCCCAAGCCCCATTCAATCAGCAACCAGCACGACCTGCTGCGGATGGAGGCGTTGAAGTATTGCCTGGTATCCTGCATGGTCAGCCCATCGCTGATCCTGATCTTTTTCAGCTCATTGGGGTGGCATTGCTCGCACGGTGTGCAGCTCAAGGCCAGCAGTTCGAATTCTGCCACGCGGTCAAGCAGATGCATGCCACGCTGCGGTCCGATCGGGATATGTCTGCTGTTAATGGGTCTGATCTTACCAACGAGGGTATGAACGAGTTGCAGCAACTTGAGCGTCGGGCGGTCGATGATGCCGTTGGCGCTGAAGATCGAGGGCTGTTCCAGCAGCCCTTATTGTCAAGCAGGCCCTCCGGATTGCCAGCAAGCGTGCGGAGGCGACGCGTAGCGAGGCCGCTGCCACTTTCAACCGCGCGTTGCAGCAGTTCCAGGCTACGATAGGAGCCCGATGCGCAGAACGGCGTGCCACCCCCTGCTCCGCAGGCGGTGGCACCCATTGCTGCCGCGGGGTCGGCCCAGCAACAATTTTCACGACGAGCGACCTGCGAGCCGGCATTGGTTGACGCCTTTTCTTGGGTGGCTAGATGTTATTTTCTGTACTGGGGCGATTGCCCAAGAGATCGCACCGAGATGTGACGCCTTCAACTTGCGCGAGCACAGGCTTCTTCTGGAGGCCTGCTGCCTCGCGAGAAGGAAATACAAACTGGTGAAGCGGAGGCCCCATCTTCCGCCTGCCGGGCCCTCTCCCAGCGGAGGGCTGGCGCGCGGGGGAGTGGGGGCCCTCGTCAGTTGTGGGCTTGCGGTTCGTCAGCTGTTGGCTTCTGATGCCATGCTTCTGGACTTGGGCCCGGCAACCTGCTGGATGTCTCTGTAGATGCAAATGAAACGTGTTTTTTGCATTGGGCGCTGCTTGCTTGGTCTCGGGCCTGGGTGGCCGCGGCGAGGATCCCAATCCCTTGAGATTATCTTCTCGCGGGGGCCCCGGCGGCTCCGTGAGTTCGCGTTGTGGGGGAGGGGGGGGGAGCTCCGGCAGCTGCCCCGGAGTTGAGCGGCTCCCGCGGCTTGCTCGCGCGCGCGCTGTTGCGCCTGCGGGCGCGGAGTCTACTTGCCCGCAGCCTAGAGGGTGGCGATCGACTGCGCGCTCGCGTATCTAAACGCGACCAATCCCTTTTTTCAAGACGCACGCCTGCCTGTCTGTCCCGGTTGGCGCGGGCAGCGGTGGATCAGAAGCTGCGGGGGCGCTTCGGAGGCGACCCTGATCCCTAGTGCGCGGGGCCCGGCCTGCCGCGGAGCACGTTCCTCTCGCGCATATCGGGGCCCCGGCTTTCAAACGACGCAGCGCGCGCGCGCAGGGGCGTCTTTACCGAGCGCGCTGCGCGGAGCAAAGCTACCGAGATGACGTTGCTTTCCAGGGCGTTTGGCGCGCCCCCCCCCCTTCCAGGGGGACCCCCGCGAGACCCTCCCCTAGTTAGGGCATGGCGCGGTCGTCGGGGACTGCGTTGACATTGCTTCTGTCGACCAGTTCTGCGGCACTGGGATTAAGATTTCAGGAGATTACGGGGGCATCGTTTATCTCCGGCTAGGAAGTTTCGGGGGTCTTCTTACACCCCTGAGGGGGGGCGCGGCCGCGCTGGCCAGCCGCGTCGGTGGATTTGTTCTGCCGAGGCGGCTAGTTCGACTTGCGCCGTGGCCCGGTGTGCTGCGCGTTCGGCGCGGCTGATCGAGGCCCTCCCGCGAGGAGCAAAGCAAGCCCATTCCTGGCTTGCGCCCGCGCAGCTCCGTGTAGAGACGGCGGATTCGCTGACTTTTTGCGGGGTGAATCCTGGGAGGCCGCTGGAGATCATCTGGAGCAACTGCTTGGAGTTCTGGACGCGCCGAGGCCCCGTGCACCAGAGGAAGTTCGGGGGAGGTGATACCCCGGGGCCATCGGGCGCGCGGAGAGCTGCGAGCTTCTCCCGCGCGGGCGCGGCCACTGGAGACCTGGGGCGGATCGGCGGCCACCTCGCTTGCCCTCCCACCCCCCGCCCCGAGGCCGCGCAGGCCTGCGCTCGCGCGCTGAATTGAAATGCTTGAGCAGAGACTGACGCGGCCAACATCGCGCCGCGCCCGGCATCGTCGCGCCGTTTTGCTCAAGTCCGCCGAGAACGAGTTGCCCGCGTGCAAGCGCCCCATTATGCGTCGCGTCTACTGGAATCAGAGCGTGAATTACCTACCCCGCTTTCGCTTCAAGGCAAAATCAAGTCATACCACGCGCCTCCTCGTCAAGCGGCCTGACTAGAACAGGCCGTAGTTTGGCATCGCTTGGTATCTCTTGGAAGCGAGGGTGGTCAAAAGCGAGGTAGGTTTGTTTGCCCCCCATGGAAGGCTAGAGGCCTATTCATAGACAGCTGGAGTAAAGAACATCGCCGTCGCAGGAGCGCTGCTCTCGGGGGCCCCACTGTCGTTGCATGCCGCCTTGCACGGAGAGGGTGGCCACGAGATGGCTCGACGCCTCCGGCCTTGTTCGGTCGACTGCCTGACGGTTGCCGAGGGCCCCCATCGGAGCTCGATGGTTTCCCGGAAGTCCTGCTCGTTAGGCGTTTATGTTTCAGAAAGACTTTGAAACACGAGATGGGTTTTCTCAGCGCGCAATGTTCTTTTCACACAAACACCAACAACACACATACATATATATATATATATATATATATATATATATATATAGACATGCATATATAACACATCATCACATCCAGGCCTACTCTGTGAATGCGTACCTTTTCGCGTAGAGGTGCATTGTAAAAGCGCGATGAATCGTTTCGCTGATTGGGCGGCTGAACGTGGTCAAGTCACCGACGACGCAGCCGCCGACACCAGAATGAAGACGATCGTGTTCTTACAGTTTTGAAGCGTTTGCTTGCTGTCCAGGGGGATGTCTGGGGACCCTGCGGGCTGCAGCGAACTCGGGGGAACGTGACCTCTGTGTTTTTGTCGATTCCGCGATGCAGGGCGCTCTTCTTTGGCCAAGACGCACCCGGTGCGTTGCGAGACCTTCCACCTTGCTTTCAGTAAGTGAGGTCTGCTTTCAGATGTTTGGCCGATGCCTTACTTACGAACCCATGTGCGTTGTCCAGCAGAGGATTGCGGTCCTGCCTCCGAGCCCCAGGTGGCTCAATGGTGATCGTGCCCCCTGGACGATGTGTGCCCTCATGTGTTGGATTGTAGTGCACTTGATCGCCCGCTGACACACCAGCGTCACTAACCCCATCAATTCGCTGCGTTGAGTGGAGTTGTGTTTTGTCAAAGGTTCGGTGGCTTCTGTACCATGAATCCCCCCCGCATTTTCAAAGGCGTTTGTGGCGAACCGTCCTGAGGTCCATGTTTTTCGAAAGCTGGGAAAGAGGTTCTATCGCGGTTCTTGGGGAGCCTGCCTTTTAAGTAGGGCGATGCGTTTTCCGATGTGGGTTGATGGCTTGATTTGCGGCCTCCGAAAAGCAAGGCCTGCGCATTTCGCAGATTTAGAGTGAGAAGCGTCTTTCGGATCCGAACATTATGTTTCTCATTGTTTTGCCCCCCTTGGCCTGCTTCCTCTCCCTTCCTTCCCCCGCCTCTTCCCTCCACTCGTTCCTTCCTCACCCCCGCGTTCTTGCCGCGGCCCCCCCGCCTCGAGGCGTGCCCGCAACGGTGTGGTCGATTGCGGCATTGTCGGTGGGAGCGGCTCGTGGCCAAGCCACATGCAAGAACGCGTGTGCGCGCGTTCCTGCAATTCGCTGTGCCGCCGTAGCTCGAAACATCGCATGTTCGAATGAACGTGTGGCCCGCGATTCCCTACAACCCATTTTGCGCGCGCGGTGGGTCGCGGAATGTTAGGCATCGCATCGCACCGTGCAGTGGCCACGCCGTTGGCCTGGCCTTGGGGTGGCCCCCCCCCCATGGAGCAGGGCAGTAATTTTGATCAAGGCCAAGCCGTCCGAGATGTCGTCGACCAGTCTTCTCGGCCCGCTCCCGCGCCGCCCCGCCCGGGCGCGCTCCCAGCCGCAGGCGTCGCCGAGAACGCCGCCGCGAGAGAAGCCTTCGAGGCTCGCTGCCGCCGCCTGCCGTGCCGCCGACCGCGGGCCAGTCGATGCTGCCGCCCGCCGCGTTGCCTGCAGCTACGCAGACGCCTGCTTGTGTATGTGAGTGTGTGTGTGTGCGTGTGAGTGTGTGTGTGTGTGTGTGCGTGTGCGTGTGTGTATGTGTGTGCGCGCGTGTTGATGTATGTGTGTTGATGTATGTGTGTGCGTGTGCGTGTGTGTGTGTGTGTGTGCGCGCGCGCGTGTTGATCTGCCGCGTGCCGTGGGCGCGTACATGCATGTTGTTGCTGGATATGTGGTCTCACGCTCGCCTGGTGCCACGGCGCCAACCTGCGACGCCCCCTGCCGGCGACAGCTGCAGGTCCGATGTCCGATGTCCGATGTGACCTGGGATGGCCGTGCGCGCTTCTTCGCCTCACTTTCTACGCCGCGACGCCGCGCGCGTGGCCGCGATGCCAAAAAGTGAGTGGGGGCGCGCGCGCGTGAGTGCGTGTGTGCGTGTGTTGTGTGTGTGTGTGTGTGTGTTGTATGTTGTGTGTTGTGTGTTGTGTGTTTGTGTGTGTGTGTTTGTGTGTATGTGTGTGTGATTGTGTATGATTGTGTTTGTGCGTGTGTGTGCGTCCCTACCTTACCTCAGGGCGCCTGGCCTTACCTTGCCTTAGGGCATCGGGGGCCCCCGATGCCCTAAGGAACCTCAGGGCGCCATACCTTACCTTGCCTCTGCCTTTCAGTCGGGCATGTCCCTTTCCAGGAGGGACATCCCGAATCAGTCAAGAAACATGTTTTTCTTTGGGGGGGGTTGCTGACCTGCTTCCAAAATCCACTTGTAGGAGGATATGCCCGACCTAGCTTCACCTCCGGCGCGCGCTTGCTGCTAGGCTTAACTTTCGTTCTGCCCGCGGCGCTTGCGCGCCCGACCTGGCCTGAGGGCGGCCTTCTCCTCCCCCCCCACAGCGCAGGCGCGCGCCTGTCCCTGCCTGCGTTGCAGCTGGGACAGGTTCCGGGGCCTGCTCGGGCAGACGTTCTCTCTCGCCAAGCCTGGCCCCCGCCCCCCTCTCTCTCTCTCTCTCGGGGGCGAGAGAAGGACGCGCGCGTGGACGAGTCCGCGGTTGGTTCCCAGCGCACGCCTGCGCAAACGTTCGCATCATGCGGCTGGCCTCGCGGACTGGGGGGGCCGGCCGTTCTCATGTGCGCGGTTGCGCGCGTACGTCCTCCGTGCCGCCTTGCGCCGGCCCTCCGGGAGGAGGGCGCCCGCGGGGGGGCGCCCTCGCGCGGCGGGGGGGGGCCATCGGGAGGGCGCCCTCTCCGGTGCCCCCGGGCTTCCTCCCCCCGTCCCCTCGCATGAAGGCGGGGCGAAATAACGCGGAGGGGTCGGGAGAGGAGGAGGAGGAGGAGGACGAGGAGGAGAAGGAGGAGGAGGAGGAGGAGAAGGAGGCGGAGGCGGAGGCGGAGGCGGAGGAGGCGGAGGAGCGGGAGGAGCAGGAGGCCAAGGAGGAGGCGAAAGAGGGGGAGTAGGAGCAACAGGAGGAGGACAAGGGGAAGGTAGGGGCCGCTCCCCGCCCCCTTCTGGTCCGTCACCTCTGCCCTGCCTTCCTGCCCCCTCCCCTCCCCTCCTCCTCGTCATGTTCCTCCCTCCTCCTCTTTACTTTCTCCCCCTTCTTGTCCTTGCCAGCCATCATCCTTAGTTACCTACTCCTCCTCCCTCTTCCTCTTCTCCCTTCCGCCTCGTGGTCGCGCCTTCCCTGCTTGTTTACCCATCTGCTCTCTTCCTCGTTATCCTCCTCTTTGCTCCTCCACCCCCATCACCCCCTCCATCCCGCCTTCTCCCTCGTCGCTCCCCCTTCCCCTCCCCTGCTCGTCCTCCCCCCCTCCATCCGCCCATCTCCAGCTGCGGCCTGTCCTCCTGCTCTCTTCCCGTCCCGCTCGTCCCCGATCGCTTCCCCCCCCACACCCCACCCGCCTTGCGACCTCTCCCCTTCCATCGTGCTTCGTGCTCGCAGGCACCTCCAGAGAACGTTTCTCGATATATGAAAGAGCGTCGGGACATCGCCCAGCAGGCTGAGAGGGGGCTGCGTGCGCTCGGCAGCCGGGAGCTGGGGGTCATGCGGCGGCGCGGACCGCGCGTTCCCGGCCCTTCCATTTCCCTCCCCCTGTCTCACTGGGCAAGCAGGACGGCGTCGAGACATCCAAGGCATCCTTGGTGCTCGTCCTCCTCCGCCCCGCCTTCGTCGCCCCTCTGGCCCTCTGGGCGCGCGCGCGTGCGCGCGGGCAGGCCATCGCGGAAGCGCTGGCGCTGTTCCACGGCTCCCGGCTTGTGGGGCTGCGCCTGCTGCCGGCGCGCGGGAAGGGGCGGCTCCGGTGCGGTCGCACAGGGGCGCTGGCGGATGCCACCTCCTTCTCTCTTCTCCTCTTCCTCCTGCTCCCTTGCTCCCTCCCTCCCTTCCTTCCTCCCTTGCCTCCTCCTGCCTCCTCCTGCCTCCTGTCCCTCCTTCCTGCCTCCTCCTCCTCCTCCTCCTCCTCCTCCTCCTCCTCCTATCGCTATCGCTATCGGCTCGATGTTCCTCCTCCTCCTCCTCCTCCTCCTCCTTCTGCGCCACGGCCCGCGGGGCACCCGAGCGGGCCCCCACCCTCGCCGCAGCGTGGGGGCCCCCAAGGGGGGTATCGGGGTCGAGGATCCCCCCGGGCCCCGCTCGCGGGCCCGAGAGGAGGCCACCGGGCTTGCGGGAGGGGGCAGGGCGTGGGGCGTCGCACAAGGGGGGGGCGATGCATCCAGAGGAGGAAGGGGTCCCTCCCTCCTCCTCCCTCCCTCCCTCCCTCCCTCCCTCCCTCCTCCTCCCTCCCTCCTCCTCCTCTCCTCCTCCTCCTCCTCCTTCCTCCTCTCTCCTCCTCCTCCTCCTCCTCCTCCTCCTCCTCCTCCTCCTCCTCCTCCTCCTCCTCCTCCTCCTCCTCCTCCTCCTCTACCCATACCGATGCCCTTCGCCCGTTTTCCCCCTCCTGGGGGCCTCCCGGGAGGCCCTCGTCGCCACCGCTGGCTTCGCCCCGGAATCCTGGTCAGAGCGCACCCCGGGAGAGGTCTGGGGAGCAGCTGTGTCGGTACCTCTTGGTCCCCCCACAAATGAGGGAGGGCAGGGAGGGCTGCAGGAAAGGTTCAGGAGGGAAAAAACACACAGACACAATTCATCGTCGATCCCCCAGAAAATATGGGAAAACATGGGAAGTGGGGGGAAGACAGAAACCCAGAAAATATTGGAAAATATGGGGAATCCTGTTATTTGTGTGTATTTATTTGTGTGTTTGTGGGTCCCTTGAAAGGTGCCCTTCAGGGTCTCTCGAGGGGCCCGCGGGGCCCGCAGCGTGCACCCCTCGCTGCCCCCTCTCCTTTTTGTCTCGCCCGCCTCCACGGGGCGGCGCACCGGGGGCGCGAGAGAGAGGCGGTCGAGAGGAGTGCAGCACTTGGCACCGCTAGGGCGTGTGCACGCTTCTCCTCGGCGAGCACCCTCGAGGAGCACCCTGGACCGGCGAGGAAAACGCACACAGGGCAGGGGCAGGGCGCCGGCCGGGCTGCGGGCGGGGCGCGCGGGAGGCCAGCGGAGCGACGCAGGGACACGTGGTCGTCTTCGCCGACACTGACGCTTGGGCTGCACGCGTGAGGTTAAGTCGGGCCAGTCCCCGACAGGGGGATTTTCGACGAGAAATAGAAATATCCTAAGAATACCCCCAAAAAGTCAACAAAATACCCCAAAAATAGTCCCAAGACTATTTTTGTATGATTTTTTGTTTATTTTTTGAGGGTATTTTTTTTTGTTCGTCGAAAATCCCCCTGTCGGGGGGCAAGCCCGACTCGGGCGCGTGGACTGCCCGCGTAAGGTCGCGCGTGAGCGCCCCGGTCCTCCGACGCAGCGTGCCGCGCTGGCGGCTCGCGTGAGCTGCGGAGGTCGCCGCGTCGTCGTGCCGCGCAAGTCGCGCGCGTTTTTCCTCGTCGCCCACTCGGGGCACGGCACGGAGGAGCGCAGGGAGAGGAGGGAGGAGGCGAAGGCAGAACCGCTCGCATCGTGCAGGCCGTCGCGGGCGTGCCGGGGAGGTGCGGGAGGGCGCCAGAGCGCGGACGCAACGAAAACACACCGTCTTCCATGTGATAGGTTTTTTTCATTGTTTTGCTGATCGGCGCGGGCCCCAAGACGCCCCTGTCCCGCCCTCCCGTTGGGAGGAGGCAGGGGAAGGGGCATGAGGATAAAGCAGGCGCCAGTTAACACTCAGCTGAACAGTGTTCTGCGTGTCCGTGCCCCCCCAAAAAAAACAGTGATCGGTGGCAGAACTTCATGATTTGGGTAGTCGTGCGCGGCGTGCTTCCATGCCCAAAGCTGGGATCCACGACGCTCCTTGGCGTCGCGTTGATGCCGCCCCGCATTGCCATACCGCATATGCACATACAGGCAGAATCTGCGTTTCAACGTTTGTTTCACGACCCTCTCTATAGTTACAGACCCACGTCGGAATCCAAGGAGGAGCACGGGAACAGCGCGAGAGGGATGAGCGCAACAGGGGGAGGACCAGGACAGAGGAGGAGGATGGAGGGAGGCGGGATGAAGAGAGGGACGGACGGTGACGCAGAGGAGCCCTCGGAGGCGGAGGAGGGGAACTGGAACGCGGAGTGCAGGAGGGGA